AAGCCTTGAGTCTTTAACTTATAGCCGGATAGTGATTGGTATAAGTAATTATTGAGAAAAGTTGATGTTTTTAATTATATAGTCAAACTGTTTTAGTTAAATTTGTCAAATCTATATCTTTTAACAATATCTAAAATTTTGTATTCTAAGTTTTTATATAAAACAAAATTTTACTTTATAAAAATTTATTGTCACGGCTGATGCTGGAACGGCTGAAGCTGGAAATTAGGGACCTCGATTTAAAAATATAAACCCTACCAAAACCCACTTATACTTGTTTATTATCAAGACTAACTCTAATTCCTATGCTAACCATGAAAAAAACGCTAAAAAAATGCACCCCAAAAATTTTTAAAAATTTCATATTAAAATATTTAAAATTTCCAGCTTCAGCCATTTCCAACATCAGCCGCGACATTTATTTTTGTTATTTTTTAAAATTTTGGTAATATATTTTTTAAAGTATTTTAAATAATCTTTAAAACACTATTTTTTCACTTTATTAAATCTACATACTTCCAAAATTTTATTTTTATCAAGCTAACTTGTATAATTTATAGTTGCAAATCTTTCTATCTTAATTTCTCTTATATTAAATCAAACTTTAGTATTTGTAATTAATATTATTTATTGCTCAATTAATTAATTCACTATTTAGGTTAAAATTTTCATAAATCTCGCTTGGACAGTTTATCCATTCACAAAATTTTTGTGTTTTCAATATTTGTTTAGCAATTTGATAACTTTTACTTTTTGATTTTAACATATTATATGTAAATGTTTTTTGTAAATTTGAATCTGTAAATTGACTTAATATAAAAACCTTAATTAGTAAGTTCAGTAATTTAGTTAAATTTATAAAAAAAAACATACATTAAGTTTGGTGGTATTAATGATCTAGGAGTTTGACTCAATAAATTTTCAAGATTTTGAAATAAACTTAACTTTGATACTGAACTTCTATATTATAATAAATAAATAAATAAGTAAATATAAAAAATATTGTATTAAAACTTAAAGTTTACCTAGCTTTAGATAAATAAAGACCAGTTTTTTTGGATTTAGTGGCTCCTTGCTTTCTTCCAGATACAAGTACTTCTGTTGACTCAGAACCTTTTGTCCAAATCGTCGCTTGATTGAATTTTAGTCATGTAGAATTTAAAATGTGCAAACAGAGATTAGATTATAAAATTATAAATAAATAAATCTTAATTTAGTGAAAATACCTATATTTGACGAAATCAAATCTTTATCTTGAAAACATTCAGATAGATAACTTCTTGACCTTTCAAATTTTATTAAGGAAGGAATTATAATAGGCCGATGTAACGAATACTCATGAGGGAGGTCTACAAGAAATTTAAAAAGTAAATAAAATGAATTTACTAATCTAATACATAAAACATATAAAACTTTTAGCAAAAATACTTTTTAGACCCTCTATTCTTTCATATAATGCTCTATTCAAATCCTTTAAATAAAACATATCACCCACAGTAATAGATGATAAATAAATAGGTGATATTAGTTCAGATAACAGAGCTGATTGTAATCCTACTACATTCCATTGGGCAATTTTATCACTATATCATTAAAAAATTATTAAAACTAATTCAATTAAATTTTTAAGAAATATAAATGATAGTAAATTGTTTATACCTGCAAGACATCGATAAAGTTGGCTCAGAATCAACTCTTCCTAAAAATAAAGACAATTTATATGATTACTAATAGAAATTTACTATCAGATAAATATAATCGTAGTGCATAATTGTAGTACACTAACTAAAATCTCTATTCAATTAAATTCGAATTGTTTTAATTCTGTGCTTCTCGTTATAAATATAGAGTATGTATCATCAGCAAGTGCATTGTTACATAGACCTATGTAAAATTTTTACGTAAAGTTATGTCGAATTTTTATTAAATTTTATAAAAACTTTATAAACCCAATGTAGATTTACACAGTTATTTAAATAAATCTATTTATATAAAACTACGTAAATTGTAATAATTTTTGAATTAAATTTTGAAGCTAGGATTAGATTTTAAAGTTTAAATTAGGGGTTTGGTGAAGGTTTTCGAGCATGCTGAGCATTTTTACTTAATGCGTCGAGAGAAACAGCTAAAGTAGTTAAATTATTTTTATGTAAATATAAATAAAATTTACATAAATTTTATGTTTATATAAATATTAAAATTTCTATTAAATTATATGTAAATATTCTAACTATATAAGTCTACATTGGGTTTGTAAGTCAATATAAAAAATTTATATAACATTTATATAGCTTTGTAGAGCTATGTAAATTTTATAAAAATTATACTTGCTGATGGTTACTCAAAAATTTTCTTTCTTACGACAAATCTTCAGCAGAATTATATAGCTGGTCTTTTAGTCAATGCACTACGATAATCTAATATTGTAAAGATTCAGACCTGGTTTTGTTCTCAAGACTCCAAAAGATTCATAATCAATTCTGCCTCGCCGGAATCCATCCTTCATTTTAAAAACTTTAACTTTGCTATTAGAATCATCAGAGATCTGATCTCCCCTCACAGTGTCACAATTTTGAGAATCAATATTGCTGCTATATGAGTTAATATATAATTCTGCATCTTTTGGCGACTGATTTAAAGCTGTACTCGTTACTGATGCATCTCCACCTACCAAAGAATTTTAAATATATGAAAAAGTTTTTTAAAAATCAAGAAAGTTACAAGAATTGAAACTTACAGGGTGCCTGGCTTATGTACATATGAAAAGTAACATGATCTCTTAGTTTAAATGGAGGATAATTTTTATCATTTAAACAAAGATACTTTGATTCTGAGTTTAATAATAAAAATTTCATTTCATTTATAAGAAACCTAAAAATAAAATTTATTAATATGAAAACATTTATACATTTATCATAAATAAGATTTCGTGAAGTTAAATAAATAAACACAAACTTTAAAAACCCTCTTCGAGCCAATATTTCAGCATGACTATCATGAATTAAAGTACCAGTCTTGCAAAGTTTACTTTGTGGTAGACATTTTAGCCCACTACTATTTAACATCCTCAACAGATAAATTACGAATAAAAGTAAACTCTAAATAGTTAATACAAAACATCCCAAAAAATACACAATAAAAAAAATTCTAACATGATTTACCCAAGAGAGATACAATCAAGGTGATACTCTCCATTCTCTATCATTTACATAAAACCAATATTTTTTATTAGAAAAAAAAATTATATAAATAACTATTTGCAGACAACCATGATTCGTCTGCTAAATCAAATTATCATTTGGCAGATACATAGTTTAAATTACTTTAGCTATCTTTATCTATCGAATCTGCCGTATAATAAATTATTTAGCATGACAATGGTAATCTACTGGATAACTCATTACCTGTCATATGACACGCAACTATTCCTGCAAGCACAGTCCACTCTAAATCATTTTGGAAAGCCACTGGTTTACCATTTTTGCCAATAGTTTTAAACTTTCGATGGCATATTTCCGTAATTTGTGAAGAAAATATTGTTGAATTAGATTCCCATGGCTTAGTTCCCATGGCTTTGTAATTTGCAATATCTGACTGATAATGGTACAGTAATCTGCAACAGTTTAACGTCAATAAAACAGAAATTCAGATGATCGGCAAATTATACGTAATTGGTTTTATTATTAATCATATCAGATGATTTTCGTTAATCTTTACCAGGAATGTAGTAATGACCCATTGCATTGACGATAGTCATGCAAGGGTATTATCGCGAGGATGATCCAGGTGACCAACCAGTTTTAGT